ACAGATATTGTTGGAGGAGATTACTCTATGCATTATATATATATATATATATATATATATATATATATATATATATATATATTTTTAATGCTTTTAAAGTGTGAGGGTGGTATATGCCTTCAAACAAGTAGTGTCTAAAAGAAATGTATTTTTTTGTTCTTGAGCAGTGGTTCAGGGAAATGTGGATGCTTTCTTCCCTGCTGCTATGTTTCCTATAGCGGTATTGTAGGGATGGTTTCTGCTGTTGATTGCTTACTTTCTTATTTTAAATGCTGAAGGAAGTATACCATTCTTTTTCTTCTGCTTATGTAAGACTCCCTTTGTTTCCTTCCTAGATCTGAGCTGTGCTCTGGAACAGAATGTACAGCTGGATCTAGAACAGTTGCCAAAGAGGAGTCTGTGGACAAACGGTGCTGCATTTCCCAGAGGGAGGTCATCGAGTTCCTTGCCTTCTCGCAAAGTGTTCTTGTATTTTTCTTAAATAGCATTGCATGTTACTGCTGTACCAAGACTTTTATGACAACTCCATTATCTGTATCCCAAAGATGATGCTGAGAAACATGTCTCATGCATACCTCACGTTTTGTATTAATTCTTCCTTTGGGTCAAAAGCAGACCAAATCCTTGAAATGAGGCTGAAATAAAACTGAATAACTGTCTCACTGTTATTAAAATAGTTTGGCTGTGGTTCCTGTGGTCAGAATGCCCTGTGGCAGCTCCTGGCACCACTTGTGAATGAAAGAATTGATGACAAATTGCTTGATATCACGACCGATCTGGTGGATATTTACAAGCCTTGGGGGATCCAGACAGGATCTCAGAGTGATGAGGCCAGGTCTGGAAGCTGCTACTACAGTGTTTCTTCTAAGAGTTGCTCGGCTCTTTTTGCATTGCTCTTGTGAGAGGTAGATTGTGGTTTTGTAGTAGAAGCTTCCAGTATTTTCTGTATGTAGTATAGGTCTACACTGAACTTACAACCCTTTTGTGAAATAGCAGTTTTCCTTCCGCTAAGTAAGTTGCTAAACAGAGTAAAAAGTTAAGATTTGGGGCATTCTGATGGGGGTAGAACTGAGCCAGGCACAAAATAAGGCAAATATGCAGGGTGGAGAGAGCAGGACAGAACAAACGTGCTCATTCTTGGAATTGTTGCCCTCCATGGAAGAGTACAAAACATACCCAAGAAACAACAGGTTGGTAATGGACCTTATGTGGAAATGAGTCACAGCAGCAGCGTTGGAGAGCTTGTGAACCTGAGATGCGAGCGCCAGGAGAGCATTGCCTGCGTTGGGTTCAAGTGTATAGAACAGAATGAATTTTGAAGACTGGTGTGCAATTACTCCCTTGCTAACGGGGGTGTGCGCCCGTTACTGCAATAATAAATGAACTTTGTTACTATCAGTAAGATCCTTGTCTAACCTGAAATTTTTGACTTGCAGTGTTTCTCACAAACGTGTAACCGAAATCAGATTTGGTTAATTGTTCCAAGCCATCCTGGGCTTGGCTGCACACATCTGTCTGATTGATACCAGTTTTTTTTTTTTTTATTGCCTCAGGCTCTGGCTGGAAAAAAGCCGAATAATAAAAAGCATGACAACATCAATGTGCTGGTCATTTATTTATTGGCAGATATTTGTAAGCACGTAGCACAGGTTCAGTGGGTTTGTCGAAGATGTCCTTCATTTTCTTTGTCGTCTCTTCTTCCCCCCCTTTCTTTCCTGTGTTTTTCCACTGCCATTAAAAGAGAAGGGGTTGCTGGGTGCCGTGCTGCAGATGCCCATCAGTCCTACAGGTGAAATGATTTTCACGGTCTCCGATGCTATCGCGTGGCCAATCGGCAGAACTACATCCAAATTATTTCCGCGGTCTGTGGTGCCCCCTCGTGGTCACTTGGTGGAACAGCGACGAAGCTGTTTCCACGCTCTCTGGTGTCCCTACGTGGCCAATCGGGAGAATTGCGGCAGCTTTTTTATGTTGCCGCAGGGAGCAGGACGCATGCGCCTAGGCGCGTGGAGGTGGCGTGCGGACCTTCTCGTCCTTCTGCGCAGCCAATCCGCCGATCTTCGTTATGCTTAGTTCTCCAGGCAGCAGTGCGCATGCGCTAGAAAGTTTTCAATAGCGTACATGTTTTCAAAGCCCTGAGATGTGGGCGAACAGTCTATTCTTGGACCTCTGGCTTAGCAATGGTTTTATCTCTTCCAACCCACAGTGCTCCTTGTCTATTTTCTTGGGCGGTTTTATGCCTGAGTCTATTTCGAGAACGGACTATTTAGGCTCCCAGCGGACCATGCATCCGACGCATGCGTAATGAGGCACCGAAAAAACTGAATGCATAGGTGTGTATCCGAAAATGAGAATACATAATCATGGGAGTATGGTGGCGCATGCTTAGTCCAGTGCTGAGGCAGGCGCATGCACAGTACTGTGCTGGGACTGGCACGTGTGCACTCCAGTACCAAAAATGGCACAAGTGCAGTGCGGAGTGAAAACTGACACATGCGCAGTGCAGAGCCAAGGCTGGCACGTGCCCAGTACAGCGCTAACAATGGCACAAGCATCGTACGGTGCCCAGTGTGTTGCATGCGCCGTGCAGTGCTGGGACTGGCGCATGTGCAGTCCCGTGCAGACTACGACGTGTGAGCATTGCGGGACAGCGGATGGCACATGCGGAGTGCAGAGTGAACGCTGCCACATGCACAGCGAGGTACAAAGGCTGGCACATGTCAATGCAGGAAGGTGGCACATGCTCAGTGCAGAGAGATCAATGGCGCATGCGCAATGCTCTCCTGCGATAGGCGCGTGCGCAGTGCAGGGCCAAGAGCAGTGCATATGCAATGCTGTCATAGCTGGCACATGCGCAAAGCAGTGACGAGACAGGCACATGCACAGTGTCTTGCGAATACCGGCACATGTGCAGCGTGGTGATGCGACAGCTGCATGCACAGTACAGTGTAAAAGATGGCTCATGCGTTCTCTGGTCCCAATATTCGCACACGCGCATTATTGTGCCCAAGCTGGTGCATGCACTGTACCATGCAATGGGCTTATGTGCAATTGCAGTGCCAAGGCCAGCGCATACTCACTGCGAGGCCGAGGATGGGGTGTACGCAGTGCTGGGTCGATGCTCAGGCATGTGCACTGCGGGGTTGAGACGAGCGCATGCACCGTGCTGTGCAGAATCCTGTGCATAGTGCCTTTTTTTAATAAGGACAGGCGCATGCGTAGCACTGTGTCGTGAATGTCGCATGTGCTGTGCATATAGAACCTGCTCATGCTCAGTGCGGGACCGAGCCTGGTGCATGCGTACTGTTGTCTCGAGAATTGAGCCTGCATAGTGCAGTACAGAAACCGCTGCATGCGCACTGTAGTCTCTAGATTCATACATGTGTATTGGTTTCTTGACACTTGCGGTGCTGTGCCGTGCTGCATGCCACTAGTGCGACTGCGAACCTCTGAGCTGATCGTGTTTCACTCCTGCTGACAATGCTTTTAAACGGCTGGGGGATGGTGCACGGCTTGGAGTGGAAGGGGAAGCCTGCTATTCCAATGCAGCGGCAAGCAAATTGGATGCCGCGAGGCGCTGAGGAGCATGTGTGAGTCAAACCCACCCATTCCCGGGTGGGCCCGGGCATAAAACAGTGGAAATAGATGAGGGCCATCCTGGATTAGAAGGGGAGAACATCGCTCAGCCGGCAGTCCAAGAATCGGCTGCTTGCCCGTAGCCGTAGTGGTTTGTCGAAAGCTGCTGTTTTTAAGTTGCCGGGCGCATCTTCGCTATTAGCTGGAGGACTGATCACCGTAGAGAGTGGCGGATTAGCTGCGCAGAGCGGTTAGAATGCCACTTCCGCATTTTGTACGCGCATGCGTTGTGCTGCTTGTGGGACGCAGCGGCCGTTTCGCGCATTGACCACGAGGTGGCAGCAGAGACGCGGAAAGAACTTCGATGGGCTTGACGGGGAGCGGCGGCGCAGCGCCTGCGTTCTGTTTTGTGATGACAGGAGAAGAACGCGAGGTAGTAGCGGGGTTGCGGGGGGGAAGGAGGAAGAAAACAGAAGGAAACTACTCCAAACGCAGGAAATCTGTATTAAGTTCTTATGAATACTTGTAAAAAAAAAAAAAAAAAAAAACAGTTCTTTTTTTGCCAGCATCTGTTACATTGTTTTTAAATGTTCACATACCAATATGTAACTGCTCAGCAAATTTAATTATAACAAAATTAAAGCCTGTTGGCAGAAAGCACAGGGCCATATTAATGTTCGCTCAGCCTCAGTCCTGTTTATACTTCAATATATTTCTTTCCAAGGGCCTTCCTTCAGCTCCAGGTTTAATTTCTGGCTTTTTATTCTTTTTAATGCCATAAAATGGGTAATTTTAGGCCCTAGCATGTCTACACAGGCAGTCACAGCACAAAGTTGCTGTTTTGAGATTAGTGAGGACCATTGCAGTGTTTCCACAAAGATTAACAAAAACTGCAGTTCTGCACCTAAGTTTACCGATAGAAAAAAGTAATTCCTCTGCACAGAAAGAATCGATGTGTCACAGCTGCTATTGGCAAGATGACCCGAGAGTTGTGCAGGTCCATCAGGCTCAGCTGCAGCTTCTCAGCTGCCCTACCCTGGTCTTCCTGCAGCTGGACAGATAGCCCAGAAGGGCATGGGGTACGCAGACCCTCCCCGGCCAGCTGCAGCAATTGCTCCTGCCAGCACTCCCTTTCCCCCCGACCATTCCCATTTCGCAGGCTGGAGCCCTGTGTGGCAGAGGAGGAGAGAGCTGCACGCAGAAGGAAAACAGGGTGCTGGGATTCCTGCAGCTCGCTGCCAGCTGTCTTCTCTGACATTTTGGGGGTGGGCAGGGGACTGTGGGAGCACCCTCAAGGCTCTGGGCAGGAGGGAAGGAAGCAAAGATGCAACTGCAAGCAGCGGGCTCTGAGCTGAAGCAGTGTGGCCGGGCACTGTACAGCTCACAGTCTGGGCACACGGAGCAAGTTTGTCCAGCTGAGGGCTGCAGGGCTGTCCTTACCAAGACCTCCCCCGTCATACAGGTCTGCAGCGACTGCATCAGTTGCTCGAGCTCTTCCCACTGCAGGAACTCAGTAGTGACAACAAGCCTGACCCCTACCCAAGCAGGTAATGACAACATGCACACCCGATACAGAATCTGGCATTCTACAGTCCTCGCAGAGCTTGTTGCTGCTTTTTAGGCTGCTCTACAGCTATTCTGTCCTTTCCTCTCCATTCCCCTATGTCTTGTCCCCTTCCTTCGAACTGTGCCTTCCCCATTCCCATTCCCCATTCAGGCTTTCTCCTTTTTTTCCCCACTTCCTTCCCCCTGCAACGTCCCCATGTTCTGCTGCTGTTCTCAGCTGACGATCCTTAAACCACACTTTTCAAAGACATTGGATCAGATCGCATACTATCACTGATTTAAAAAAAAACAAGCACAGTATTATAAATGGATACTAACCTCCTACCTGCTTGAAGAAAAATAGCAGCTCCTCACCCTGGAGTGTCACCATCAGCCCCAGGTTGGGCCGGCGCTGCTCATCTGCCCTGCAGCACTGCTCAAATGGCACCGGCACCTCCTGGCACGGCCTGCCACCTCCTTGTGCCACCTGTATGTGTCGCCTCCTCTCACTTCAGTAGTTGTGACCCCATACGTCAATCTCATGACTCCCATGTCCCCTCATGTCCCCTCAAGTCCCCCTGTGCCCCCTGCCCCACTTCGCTCCATGCCGATGTCACCGTGGGGATGAGGACAGGGACAGGGATGCCTGTGGGGTGCGTGGAGTCCTGGGAGAAGTTGGTGGCCGTGTGCAGTGGGGTGATGGTGCCCTTGGCGCACAGCTGTGACAGTGGGGTGGGGGTAGTGCCCCACAAGTGGGGGTCATTGCCCCCAAAATGGGGCTTGTGCCTCACACACGTGGGCAAGTTGTACGGGCAGTGCTTTCTGGAGATGATCTGTCTGTTCTCCAGATCTGCAGTGACTTCACCAATTTCGCGTCGAGCCGCAGCAGCAATGGGGCACTGCAGCACATCAGCGATCTCTGGCTTGAGGAGCACAGGGCTGCACGAAGGACACACGCTGCAACCTCCCTGTTTCTGTGCGGTTTGGATTGCTGTTGGAGCCCAAAGGCCATACACTGCCATACAGGCAGGTGCCAGGTTCACTCCCTGAGGACACCAAACCCTCCAATAACGTCACAGTGGCCTTTAATTGCTGTGCGAAGAGATGACGCGTGTTTCTCCCTGGGGAGCCGTAAGCTGAGCCTGGCAGGTGGGCAGCCAGCACTCGCTCCATTGACGCCGCTCATCTCAGCCCTTGTGCTGCACGTGCAGCTTCTCAGCACCTCGCTGTATCAGCACTGAAATCTGTGCTCCCCTATTTATTACAAATGTCACCAATTGCCATGGAGGACAGACTGGAAGCAAAGTACGTGGACCGTCCTAGCTCGTCCATGGATAAACCTCCCCTGCCCACACAGGCAGACCCAATTGGCCGCCGGTCATTACTTTTGTTTTTACTGTATTTTTTCCTTCATGCTTTTAGGGAAACTTTGAGATTGCAGCCTGAAGCAGTGATGGAGCACCTGGTGAGGGGTGCAGC